CCTCGTTCCACCAAGGTATTTTTTTAAACCTTTTTTTTCTCTCTTTGATGGGGGTAGTGTTTATTGTTTGGGGAGTTGAGGGATTGTTTTTGTTTTCCTTATTAACTGCTACGTTAAGAGCTTCGTTTATTTTTTCTATGAAAAGATCGTAGGAATAGAAGGGTTGGTCCAGGACTCTATCCAAAGCCTCTCTGAATGTCGTCCAGTTTTTCAAAGATTTCAGAGGTAGTAAATTAGATTGCTCAGATGGATTTGATATTCTCTCGGTGTTCTTCTTATAGGTGTAAAGGCAGGGGAAGTGATCACTACTTCCTGAATTTAGTGACTCCCAATCAAAGTCTAAAGCTAAAGCTACTGAGCAGAAGGCAAGATCTGTGTAACTTTTGTTTTCCCCTGGGGCTGTTCGCCTAGTAGGTTGGGGGAATATAGAATTAATATTGAAGAGGTTCTGTTGTTGCGAGAAATCAAAAATCTCAGTGCCTCTTCTGTCACTAGTAGGATATCCCCAAACAGGATGTTTGGCATTGAAATCGCCCGCCCAGAGCATAAAAGTCTTATTAGATAAATCGTTTAGTTGAAAAAAACTACGTAATTCTTCTATTGATATTTTACTGTTTGGATGGATATAGAAATTTATGAAAAAGAAATCGCTGCCATCAATTATTATTTTAGATAATTGAGCTTCTATTCGCTCATCTGCAAACACATTTAGGTTAAAAGCGATTGGGTATGAGATATATTTAGTTTTAATTAGGGTAATAAGGCCTCCGTAGCCGTCTCCTCTGTCATCCCTGAAACAATTATAACCTTGGAATCTTTTTCGATAGTGGGGTTTCATCCAGGTTTCAGAAAGCATTACTATATCTGGGTCATGATGGTGGATTAGGAAAGACAGGTCTACATCGTTCGGTAGGAGGGAATGTATATTCCAACATAGGATTTTAAAATTGTTTAGTTTAGGTTTTATAAGATTAGAAGATATCATTGGTGTTGGATGATAATTTATATTTAAGAATAATAAAACAAATTGTAATATTTTTGTTTGGAATATATTGTTTTTTTTTTTTTTTAATTATTTTTTTTCTTTAGATTATTCAAGGGAGGATTGATATAAGTATTTTTTTTTTTTTTGAAGGTGTTATTTAGGTTTCAGCGTATTGTTTGGGGTTGATACAGAGTTAGTTTTTGGGATTGATATATTAAGATTATTAGGATGGTTAGTTATTTTTGATGATGAGTTTGTTGGGGGGGAATTAGTTACAGAGCATTGTTGGGAGGTTGGTTTATTCGAATTAGAAGGGACTTGAGTTAGATTACTTTGCCTATTCGGATTGTTAATTTTTGTTTGTTGCATGGAAGGGTTTCGGGAATTCGAAATCTC